CTAACTGCATACTGCTACAGTACAGCACGTAGCTGCTAACTGCTAACTGTTTACTGCTACAGTACAGCACGTAGCTGCTAACTGTATACTGCTACAGTACAGCACGTAACTGCTAACTGTATACTGCTACAGTACAGCACGTAGCTGCTAACTGCTAACTGTTTACTGCTACAGTACAGCACAGTTTACTGCTATAATATTGGCAGCAGCTGAAAACAAGTGTCAACAAAATAAGCTGTTTAGCAGAGAAGACTCAGCATATTTTTTGTGTACAGCCCACATACTCAGCTCTACWGCTCATCCCACAAATGCATGATCCTTACAAATGTGGCTGCATTTAAAAAAAGGGAAATTAAACTTTCCAACGATATGCTTTACTGACAGAAATCATTTTTACAATAAAGAAATAATCTACCAAACACTAATTTACTCACCTGTGAGGCCGATCTTTTTACGGCACATGAAGCAGCGGTTCTTCTTGGGTTTGGGGGGCTCTGGGGGTTTGACGTCTTCACTGCCAGCAGTGGAGGGTTGGGAAACAGAGACGATGGGCTGACTCACCACTGCAGACATACAAAACATTTTGTTCAGACTATCGACTAAAGAAAATACAAACATTACGTTTCTCCTCCTTTACAGAACCACTAAAACGGTGTTTTTACATCAAGATTTGTCTGTTTCTGGTTCCTACCTGGATCTGTGACTTCTGCTTTGCTCTCTGATGCTAATTTCCCCTCAGACAGACTCATTTCTGTCATCTGTTTTGTTACTGAGGAGGCAGCTGAGATCCCACTGAGGACYACACAGAGGAAACGCTTAATAAAGCAGAGAAAACATAACGTGATGCTCACCGACTTCTGAGGAACAATTAGAAGAAAATACTCTGATCAAAAGAAAAGAACAACAATCTTTACATTAATGCTCACTAAACCATCTCTTAACAGGAATTCAAGATGGCCGCCACAGATTATCAACCCTTCACCACTTTAGATCAATAAATAATTTCAAACCGTCAATCTGGTCAACAAAACCAGCTTGRTGCCAGGTGATAAGCTGACAAATTCCAACAAACGACAGATCAATTTGAAGCTTTCAGATGAAGAATTAGAAACTCTAAATTGAAAAATCCTTTGCTGTGACTCATCAAGTCAGCACGAGTCACGAGTTGTTGATGCTGAGGCGGTAGAACAGGACCACACAGTCTCCAAAGCTTTCCATCAGTTTGGAACTGACCTGAGGGCTTCTGTGACGGCGTCGGCGTCAGCCGCCTCCTCCGCGGCTGCCACGGCGGCGGCCGCGGCGTTGTTCAGGGTGGCTTCCAGCCTCTGGATGGCCGAGTCCTCGGCTGCYGAGCCGCCGGAGGCTGAGGAAAGAAGCAGAGGCGTCACACCGCCGCCGCCGCCAGGTGAACTCGGAGACGCAGCTCGGGTCTTACCCATGGCGCTTAAAGAAGCCACGCCGTTGTTCTGTCTCGACAGGTGCTCCTTGTGGCACACCGAGCACATGCCGTTAGTCCTGGGGTTGCCATAGAAACCGCAGCCGTTGGCACAGAGCATAGGAGCCGGGCTCTGATTGGTCTCCTGGGCCATAGCAATGTCTGCCACCTGGAGACAAACACACACCTGTCTTCACCTGGGCTGAGTTCTGGTCACACATTAACATGTACGAGCACGGTCTCTGTCTAATGTTAGGGATTCTTTAATCTGTTGTTTCGCCCCAGATAACTTGTTAAAAGCTAACGTTAGCGCTGAACGTCAACCGGATGTTAGCGTACGGCAAGCCAGGAGTGACAAAACATAGAAACACTTCGGCTTCATCACACACAAAACACCATGGAGGAAAATCAATCTCCCGTGAATTGATTTTCRAGAGTTTAAATTAAATAAATCCAAAAATCAATTAAAGTGATTTTTTTACCCAGCTCTATGAATATAGGGCTGGGCGATATGACCCCCCCCCCCCAAAAAGAAAGAAAAAATTGATTTTTTCATCCCCAAATTCGGTTTTCAATTTTAATCGATTAGTTTCCCACCTAAGAGAGTGCCTGTTTCAGCTGTCGAAACAAATGTGTTGTACTCCTGCTTTTTGTACCAAGAGCCTTCAAACAGAATTTACAGGAATTTGTTGCTTTAAGTCTGAGGTTACAAAACCGAACCAGTTCCAGAAAACTGAAGAAACACTGCCTTTTTTGGAAGTAGATCCTCTTTGCTAGCTGCCATGTTATGTCATGTACCAAGCATCTGGAGGGACAGGTGGGCTGACCTCTGAACTACAGGTGACCTCTGAACTACAGGAGCTCCAAACAGTGCACTGGCAGGGAAAAAAAATCTCTTTTCCAAAAATTAAATCTTTATAAATGGCAAATTCAAATTAATCAATTAAATCGATTTATCGCCCAACTCTACGTGAATATAAAGCTAATATAAAAATTTTGTTATGACTATTTTACTCATAAGTAGGGTTGGGCAATATTGGCAAAAAAATTAATCACGATTAATTGTGGTGTTTAGCCTATTAATCCCCTGGAGTCCCTGGATACCCTTATTTCGTAGTCACATGACCAATTTAGTAGGAAAGATTTGCTCTTTGTAAAAAATTGTTCCGAATTGTGTGAAAATGATAGATTTCAGGATATACGTCATATTTTAAATTGTGTTGATAGATAAATAAATTACAGAGCTGTATTTTTAATATTCGTCATATCGAACAGACTGACCAGGGAAATCTCCAGTCAGTCTGCCTGGTGGCATTAATGGTATTAATCGTCAAGTGCCAAAAACTAATCGATTACTGTTTTTCTGAAGATTAATTGCACACGATACGATTATGCCCAACCCTACTCATAAGTCTGCACCAACAGCAAAGTAATCTAAAATAAAAAAACTAAACCAAACTGGACAATATAAAACTCCTAAATTCATTTATTAAAAGGCCTTTTAAAGGAAACATGAAGGTGTTTTGATAAAATGACTATAGAACAAAGATTTTATTAGTAATGAAGGAAGGAGAAACTAAAGTTTAATTGTTTTTGTTAGATTACAGTGAAACCAAAACACTATTGTCAAAGTTTAAAAGTAGGAAGTTCCTCAAGATGTAAAATCTCAAAAACATGCTCCTTTAAGTCAACATGTAGCCTCTAACAGCTGATACTGATCCAAGAGTTTCCTCAAAGAGGACGACTGTCAACACATTTATTTATAGACCACCTCAAAACTCCTGCAGTCTGAGCTGGCATCGAGTCAAAAATCATCTTTATTTTGTCAGAAGACACCAGCAGCCTCTGCAAACAGATCAACAGGATGTGGATTATCATGTTTATTTTGTGGTGTTCAGGTTTAAAAACAGCCTCAGTTTCTTCACACTGACACAGATCCATCTGAAACTCTGTGATAACTCAGTTTATTCATGTTTGCAGGGATTTAATCAAAAGTTTACAGCTCAAACACACAATAAAGAGAATTATAACTTCCTTTAAGCCCATATTAACTCATCAGTATTTGTACAGCCTTACATAATCTGCAATGATGACCTTAAATAACAAACAAATTTTTAATATTCTCTTAAATGTGTAAAGCTTCAAGATCAGAAACTGCTGCTGGACTCTGAATCTGTTTCCCCAAAGCACAAAAACTGTTTTATTTACAGTTCAGAGCAGAGAGGAGACTCTGACCTTTTGGTAGAAAAATTAGACAGATGGATGGCGGTGGGGGTGAAAGAAGAGCCAAACAGGAGTCTAACAATAAAGACCTCCAGTAGTTTTGAATCTAACCCCCCACAAACTGTTTCAGTCCAACACTGATTTGCATTACAAGACAGTAAAATAGTTTTCCTGCACAGATGAATCAACAGTCAGCAAGTGACCTGACAAGATAACTACCGGAGATTCAAGATTTACTGTCGTCTTGTCTGAACGGTGACTGTGATCACAGAGTTACTGTGTTAATGTTTAACTTTTCTACAATCAAGGTCTGAAAATCTCCCAACAGTTTCAGAGTCTGCATGTGAGCAACCTCCTGGAAATGTTGCTGCAGCCGGTGGCTTACAAAAGCTCCAACTTTAATTTTGTTGTGAAACTTCTGGGAAAATAATAAAGTTTTTCTGAGAAAAGTTTCAACAAGGATTTTGACAAAAATGAAGATTTGCAGAGAACTGAAGGAAGAGAGTTAATATACGGTTAGCACGAATGCTAATTAAAGTGTGACTGATACAGAAACACAGAAGCAACATGTTAGGTGGTAAAAAGCTTCCACTCAAGAGTCAGATGACGGTGATGGTTGTAGCAAATGTTAAAGTTTCACTCAAAGATGATGTAAACAGGGCTTTAGTTTCACTTTGATATTGATTAATGTGATTACAAACAATGTTAATGTTAAAAATCCACTTAACWGTACAAAACCTTAAACCTCAGTTCAGTTAGTAGTAAAGTTTTTATAGCATCTTTCATAGATATATCACAAAGTGCTCGTTATTCAGACAATTCATTAAAATAAGTTGTAAACAAAAAGTCTACATGATTATTTAACATAACTTAAACAGTCATGCCATGATTTATTGCCACATTATTCTGAATCCTTATAAAACTAATGTGCTAATACTATTTAAACAAAATGTCAATGTTTCCACAAAAGATTTGCTGTGTTAACTTCCCCAATCCAAACACCTGTAGATCATTAAAGACAAAGAGCAAAGATAGCATTACGTGACCCACAATATGCTAATTTTAGCACACTCACAGATATAAAACCTCCAAACAACATAAAAGATTCAAACAGCAAACAAAACCTGATTAATTCAAACATCGGGTCAAAAAACAATGAATGAATCGGGTAACATTTGCGTCGGCACCAGCAGCTTCTGGGCCACAGTCGTTTCAAACCTACAAATCCACTGAGTCATGCTAGCAAGCTAACGATGCTAACACTTTTGTTCTAATAAATGAACGCAGTGTAAAAAACATCAGCTTAGCACAGGTGTTATTACGTGTTGAAATGACCCAACTATCATCTAAATAAACAGTTATAAAAAATATATATTATCTGTTTTACAGTTCAGTCCTCGTTCTGGTTTTAGCTTCCGCTAGTTAGCTTCATGCTAGAGCTAGCGCTCCTAATCGCTCAGTCTTTGTCCTTTTGCTTTTAAATCTGAGCTCATGAAAACCTATAACTGTTCAGAAATAATAATGATACTTTACGAAATGCGTGTCTGAATTAATAAAATCGATCTGGGGCACACGGTAATCGTCAAATTCAGAGTTAGCCAACAAACAAACTCACATGTAACAGATTAACATAACCCAAAATAGTTAAAAACTAAAGATCAAATAAAGTTTCGTAACGAGTTTAATACCACTGAAGGTCGGCTACAAGATTAATTGAAGATTAATGCTATTTATTAATTTAAAAACTCTCAGTTGACTGATTATAAAAGTTAGACACGTGTTACTAAACATGTTTGAGCACATTAGTTTATGCTTCATCATCAAGGGATTAGCATTAACATTTACAATTTACAACATTTGTTGGTGTTTTCATGCTGTYAATTGATGTTATTTATAAATATTTAAGCATCACCATGTCATTAACTTACCCTTTGTGTCTGAGAAACGCTGCCCTGGCAAGTTCTCCGAGCGCTGGGCTAACTAAAACTGGAGCTAACTAGCTTAARAGCCTAACTAGGGTCGCCTAGTTTATCCGTTTATGGTCCCGTCTTGTTCGTCTTCGACTGCGCCGAACTTCGCTCAGCTTTGGCTGATTTATTAATTTTTATTTAACCTTCTTTTGTCAGCGTCCTCCGGGTCGGCTACCTGCTCCGAGGCGCTGCGGTGGCATCTGTTTTATTTTACGTGTTACGTTGGCGTCTTTTCTACTTCCGGCGACGTCACGGAAACGGTGAGCCTGATTGGACGGCGGCCTCTGAAAGATTTCAGGAKGTTGCGACACGCTTGAAAATAAATTCTTTCACATCACGCGAATTAAAAATTCCCAATCATCTTGCCGTTCTGCTTCTTTAAGCTAGCTTTCTGTTGCGTTTTCTAAAAGAAAGCTTCCTCGTTGAATGTGTGTAACTTCTATATATTTCAGCAAGACTTTGCTGAACAGCCTCCATTACAACAAAATAACCTTAAAGTGCATGTGACGTCAAATATTTGTAATACATATGAATGCATTTTTGGATAGATGACTTTGATAAAACTTTGCAAAAGATATTTCATGTTGCTGAGATGAACAGTTGTTGAGATATTCACAGGTGKATTAACAGGAAGTGACCTCAAACAGCGCGCTAACAGCTGACAACGCAGACTGTAGAGAAGACTGATATTTCTTTAAATTATTTTAGGTCACTGTCAGTAAGAGAGGAAGAAAAGTCAGAGTATAAATAACATTGATCCAATAAACAAAGACCAGGGGTCTCATTTATAAAGGATTGRGTGGAAACCATACTAAAAGTGAACGTACGGCCAAAAGGCGGAAATGGCGTACACCAAAAAAATTCAGATTTATAAAACCGTGCGTACGCACGTTTCTGCGCATCTTTCCTTTATAAATCACAGCCGCACGTCAGAGTTTGCGCACGAAGTCCCGCCTCAGGTTCTACCCTCTACACGCCCACACTCAACCATAAACAGTCAATGTAAAGTACCTCATGAATGTTAAGATGTATTTAAATCAGTCAGATGATCAGTGATTGGTTCAGACACGCTCCGTCGTGRYTCTGGAGGATGACAGGTGCTCACGTGAACAGAATGTCTGTAATTGACACAGATTTTCCCTCATTTTGCTTTAGAGTAATCAAATGATAAAGTTGAATAAAAATCTAAGTCTGATGAAGGTAAATTAAATATCTGACAGTGATCATTACACAGTGTGGCTCTAATTCCTCACTTCACCATCTGTGTCACAGTTTCACGTCTCCAAAATGAGCATAGCATGGGTCAGAGATGTGAGGCACCGCACATTTTCACGTCAAGTTTGGATTTTATAAAACACAACCTTGGCGTAAAAAATGGCGTACGCAAGTTTCTGGGCTCAAATTGTGCGTACGCCAGTTTTATAAATCCGACCCCAGAGAGTTTTCTTTGTTAAAGAGTTCTCCTTTGATGTCATTTCCTGTTTCACTTTGGCTGAGCCAAGTTCAAAAGAAAATATGCCAGTTATGTGACAAAAATGGATAAAATTATTTGTATTATGCCAAGATGTTTTCTTTGACTTTTTGTATTTCAAGAATATGCATGTCACAAGCACTTTAAAAAGAATCATCAACTACAACTTCTGTTAACTTTATTCATTTTTATTCCATAATTGTCAGACTCCGTATTTACAGCTGTGATTGTAAAAGACAAGTGTCTGGGAACAATTTAGTCTCCAGTTTGGTTCTAAAATAGAAGCTGAACATTTGAGAGAAAAAAAATAAAAACATATGAATAATTTCAAATAATGATGATATTTTATATTTGAAAAGAAAACCATCCAAGTAAAACCATTTGAAATGAACTGAACAGATTGTCAACAGGCAGAGGGACTGACAGGACAGATGATCAGAGGAGACGAGTTTTTACCTCGATAATTAGAACAAGGACAGAAGAAAGGGTAGAGTTGTTCAGTGAAGCAGCATCCAGTGAAGGAGTAGATCAGAGCTGRAGCATCAACATCATAAAAGGAGACCAGACCCTCCTGATAATCCACAAACACCCCCACCTTCTCAGGACCAGGATCAAGACTGAGGCAGACTTTAGCATCATCGAGAGCTGTGTACTCTTTTCTATTTCTCAACCCAATAATCCAGAAACCATTTTGAGGACTTGCTGAGATGAATCTCTTCCTGGTGACGGACTTTCTGACCACTCCTAGATTCCAGCAAGTTTTTCCTTTAACCTGAACCTGAAAGTAAAATCTGCCTGAAGAGAAACTCTGATTTGCTAAAACACAAAAGATGTGAGTAAATCTCTCTGGGTTGTTTGGAAGACTCTTCCACACGTCTCCGTGATGAACCTGTTTCCCATCATCGGACAGGATGAGAGCAGGTTGAGCAGTTTTAGGATCCAGAGTCAGATCCACCTCAAACTTCTGGACCCTCTTCAGCTCAGGCGCCAACATCTTCCTCATCTTCGCCCTGATGTCCTCCTGCAGCCGAGCCACAGCTCTCACCACAGTCCCCTCATAGGATGGAGGATCGACTCTGACCTGGGTCCAGTTCTTGGTGGGTGGAGCAGCTTTCAYGGAGCTGAAGTTCTGGAGGAGGTGGAGGTGGTCTTCAGAGTGTGAGAGTAGCTTCACCACAGAGCTCCTCTTCATCAGCTCAGAGATCTCCTGTTCCAGATCTTTGACGAAGCCTTCAGCCTGTTTCTCTGTAGTTTTCTGTTTGTCTTCCACCTCCTTCATGAAGCTCTCCTTGTTCCTCTCAACAGAGTCCATCAGATCAGTGAAGASCTGAAGACCTTCTGCTTTCTCTCTGTCTGCAGCAGCTTCACTGATCTTCAGAGACTCTTTGATTTCCTGGATCTTCAGCCATCTGTTCTGGATCATCTGCTGAAATTCAGCCTCTGTGTTCTTCAGCTTTGCCTTCATTACTTCACCAGCAGACATGTCTGAATGAGAGTCAAAGAATCAACAACAGGCTCAAAAGTCAAAGAAGAGAAAAGAAGAAACAAAAAGAAATCATTTGAACTCACCTGGATCAGAATCAGATGTTAGCAAAGAAAAGATGATTCAGATTATGTTTCTTCAGATGTTTGTTTCAGCCGCTCTGCTCCGACACACAAACACTTTAATTTTTGATTCCTGAATATGAAGCTCATTAATCCAGTTTCTCTCCTCSTCTTCCTGTAGTTCTAACCGTCTCTTTTCCGTGTTGGGCTGAAGAAATAAGGAGGGGTTTCCAGGGTCACACACCCACYACTGTTACAGTGGTTTTCACAGTGTTTACGGACAGGAACTATCCCAGTAACAGTAAGAATATTGTGTAATTATAACAAATTACAAACCAGTTACGCAGGTTGTTCATAATGAATCATGACATCCAATAAACACAAAACAAGTTTAATGAGGGAGGTATGTACTTTTTTAAGTTTTATATCATGTTATAATGTAACCCAGGGTGTTGCTTTGACTCATTCATGCTTGAGAAATCCTTGAATCTCCTGAAGAAACCACGTGGAGCTGCCTGTTGCGGGTACAAAGGGCCAGGCGATAAAACGATATATGTCGCGATAGATACGTGATCAATATCAATATGTTCAATAGAACGTCTATAATTTAATGTCCTGATGCATCTCAGTAATCCAGGTAAAAAATCAAAAAGAAAAAAATTGTATAGGACCTCTGGACYGGTTCTTCTCTAATGAAACGTTTCGTCTCTCCTCCAAGAGACTTCTTCAGTCTGAGAGTTTCAGGCAAAATTCAGGCTTTTAAGCACACGACAGGCCCTGGAGCAGTGTGGTTATCCTGACTGGGCTTTCCTGAAAGCAGACAGGAAACACAGACAGGATTCCATGCAACCTTCAGGTGAAAATGAAGACCCCAAACCCAGACCCAAACCAGTGGTTATTCCGTATGTTGCGGGTGTTTCGGAGAAACTGAGACGTTTATTTTCTAAACATGATGTCCCAGTGGCTTTCAAACCCCAAAACACATTACGGCAAAGGCTGGTTCACCCCAAAGATCCGGTGCCCCGGCACAAACAGAGCAATGTTGTATATGCTGTTAAGTGCCAGGAGGACTGCGACCAGTTATACATCGGGGAAACAAAGCAGCCACTGTTCAAAAGAATGTCCCAACACAGACGAGCTACATCTAATGGCCAGAACTCTGCAGTTTTCACTCATTTACAGGCCAGCGGTCACTCTTTCAGAGATGAGGATGTTGAGAGAGGAGTAAAAGAAGCCATTTTTGTGAAGAAAGACCGTCCATCATTAAACAGAGGTGGAGGCCTCCGTTTTCAGTTGTCCCCCTCCTACAGTGCTGCTATTGCCAGTATCACTCCCCCACTGTTACCAATAGGTGTTAATTAGGTGTCAACGATAGCCATGTGATGTGAGTATCAGTCACATGGAGGCAGGGCTTAAAGCCTGAATTTWGCCTGAAACTCTCAGACTGAAGAAGTCTCTTGGAGGAGAGACGAAACGTTTCATTAGAGAAGAACCCGTCCAGAAGACCTACACAATTTTTTTCTTTTTGTCTATAATTTAACTTAAGGAAATTTGCGTAAGGAAATAATTAKGGACAGTCCTGGACGGAGACCTTCACTCAGGTTTTTTTTTATAACACGAGTCATGTGACTGTATCTGCTCCATACTGATGTGCGTACACACTCTCGTAGCCGCTCCATTGATTTCAATGGAGCCACGTCGGTTTACATGTGTTTAAACTTAAATAAATTTGGTAAAACAGCATCAAACTCCAGCGGAAGGCCCACAAAATATTGTGCTACAATTCTTACAACAGTGACTCAGGATACAGCCATCACCCCCACATGAAACAAGTATTTTTTTGTCACTTTTCCCAAGCTAAAATGCTAGGCTAACAGCTGGATTCGTGCAATGAGARGAGCTGAATTTGACCAGAAAAATTATTCCCACCTTTCATTATTTTTCAGACAACTTCATGTATCCCCAAAGGATACATAAAGTTATTATATTACAATTCAAATTCAAAAATACTTTATTGATCCCAGAGGGAAGTTAGGTGTTGTTGTAACTCATTTAAGAAGCCTCCGACTGAAGACACTTTGTCTTTCTATGACAGTCTGATGAAGAGGATGGTCAGGGTTGTCCACACTGTTCTTGATTTGATGTAAAATCCTTCTTTGCACCATCATCTCCAGAGATTCAATAACATGTAATATAACAATAATATGAGTTGAACTCATATTATAAATACTAACAGATCACCACAGTATTTCATGACGTTTTGCATAAAATTATCTTCAAGCTTTGACCAAAAAGCTATCATGTTGTCATTTCTGAACACAAGATGTAAAGCAGGTCTTTGTTTTCCCCACACTCGGCTCGTATTTTGTCAACAGCCTCGGCTTGTTAGACTCAAGTGCTGCAGAGTGGCAAAACTGGTTCAGCGCTATGTTTTAACTCTATTTTTTTAAATCAACTTTTTATACATAAAGTTTAAAAAAAGAAAAAGATGATGTTATAGGTTCATAGAAATAGGTGTTCAGGTGGAGGAGGGGGCGAGTTAAAAACATATAATGCATATAAACTGCATTTAAGAGAATAACCACATAACCAAACATAATAGGAATATCTTTTGTCACTTTATTTACTTGCTTTATTTAAAAAATACCTCTACGGGGCAAAAGAGAAGAAACCGGAAACAGAAACATGAGCCTGGTCACGTGACCTCCCGTTGTCAGAGTAACGCATTTAATACAGATGAAATCGACCAATCAGAGGCTCGCAGTGCTCAGCGCGCAGCCAATCAGCTCGCGGGGAGCGAGGATTTAAACTACGACCGAGAAGCTTCCAGTCAGGCTGCGTTCTTTTGCCATTTCCTTTTTACCTGTCCGTGAAGCCACATATCTGAAACATGGCTCTCCGAGTGACCACCAGAGTAAGTGTTTACTTATTGTTTAGAAGTTTTCAACAGTCTGGGATTGATCTGAAGCGATGTCTTTAATTATTTATCTTTAAAATMAGTTATTTTGCATCGCCTCGTGCGTCGATGTGGCGAGCTTTGCTACGTCGTGCACTCTCTGCTCCTGAATGAGGCTCTTTAGCTTGTTAAGTTTTTATATCCTGCAGCCGTATGTGAGTAACCCTCTCTGTGGGGTTTTCCCTGCAGAATCGCATCGGTTCCACCAGAGCCGAGCTCGGGGGAAAGGCCTGCTCGGTGACCGGGCCCACGAAGCCTCGAGCTGCGCTGGGAGAAATAGGAAACATCGCTGTTAACAAAGAGGCGCAGAAAAAGGTAAAAACGCCCGACTTATGGCTTAAAATTATACATTTAAAAAGTTTTAAAACATTTTCACTGATTTTTAATAAAGTACCTAGCTTACTGTTTGATTTTAACCTTTTAAATCTGTTTTTTAAAGTACGGAAGCCCGGGAGGAGGCATTTTTGGAAAATTTTGAATTTTTTTGTATGTGTTAACAGTAGGGGGCGCTGTTTACTACTTTATATTTTTGGTACTGCAATAAATGACTTGACTTTGTTTTTCTTTTTGTTTTGTTTTTGTTTAAATTTTTTATTAATGTTTAACTTTATAAATTCTGGCTCTAGAGTTTTTTTTTTTTCCTCTGTTTTGGATTAACTTAATATAATGTCCAGTATAAAAATGAGTCAGGCTCACTCAAAATGACAAACAAACAAGACAACTTACATTTTTGAGCAGAGTAGTTTTGCAGCTGCTAACTGCATGAGCTTTATGAGGTGAACGCAATTCAAGATGGCTGCCATGGCCAAGTTTGTCACCTGGATGTTTGCATATAAAGTTAAAATCTTAATCCTGACTTAAGGTTCGACTAAAAGTGTTTGTTTTGTTAGACTGTCAAGACCGAGGCCACAAAGAAGACTAAAGTCACCAAAGTTCAAAAGGTGGAACCCAAACCAGAGGTGCTGCCTCCTCCTCCTCCTCAGCCTGAGCCGCAGGTGAGCCGTTAGCGTGTTAGCCTCCTGCAGTTTGATGCTCCCACAGCCCGGTCCACAAGTTTAACTCTGCGTTCCTGCTGCAGGCCCAGCCCGAGCCGGCCTCCCCCTCCCCCATGGAGACGTCCGGCTGCGAGCCCGCCGACCTCTGCCAGGCGTTCTCGGACGTCCTGCTCAACACGGCCATCAAGGACGTGGACGCCGACGACTACGACAACCCCATGCTCTGCAGCGAGTACGTGAAGGAGATCTACAAGTACATGCGTCAGCTGGAGGTGAGCAACTCGACGCTGGAGGCTTTAGCTTTTCGCAGCAGCTGAAGTAAAGTTTGTTTCAGGCGGAGCAGAGCGTCAGACCTGCCTACCTGCAGGGTCAGGAGGTCACTGGCAACATGAGGGCCATCCTCATCGACTGGCTGGTCCAGGTCAACCTCAAGTTCCGCCTGCTGCAGGAGACCATGTACATGACTGTAGGCATGATTGACCGCTTCCTTCAGGTAACTGGACTTTTAATATTAAAATCACAAAACGTTCAGATCTGAGTCCTGAAGCTCCGCCTCCTTCAGGACCACCCGGTCTCCAAGAAGCAGCTGCAGCTGGTGGGCGTGTCGGCCATGTTCCTGGCCTCCAAGTACGAGGAGATGTACCCGCCGGAGATCTCCGACTTCGCCTACGTGACGGACCGGGCCTACACCACCGCCCAGATCCGAGACATGGAGATGCTGATCCTGCGGGTGCTGAAGTTCGAGCTGGGCCGACCCCTGCCCCTGCAGTTCCTCCGGCGGGCCTCCAAGATCTACGAGGTCCGTGGCCCGGGTTTGGTGCAGCTTTCAAGTGTTTTTTCTGATCAGCGTTATTATAGTTAACTCTAACTAAATAACAAAACTATTTTATTTAACTAAAATAACTGTAAAAAAAGGAAAATGATAACTAAAACTGTAATTGTTACAAAACTAACTGAAATTATAGCTAGAATTATCTTTTTAGTGTTTGTTAATGTCCAGATTTTTTTGGCTCCCGATACAATCCTTTAGTCTTTCTGATCTGATGGCTTTCCAGTTTGCAGATTTTGCAAGATGCAGTTTCAGCATCATTGTTTTCCTTGAAGTGTTCCCACACTGTGGACATGGTTGTGTACTTGTGTGTGTCTTGACGGCAGTTGTAAAGCATGATGCTGAAAAGTGGATCGGCCCGATCACATGACTAAATCAGAGATTTCAAAAAATGGTCGTATCTGCTACGGATACTGAGTATCTGATTGGGACATCCCGAGTGTTTATTATAAGCCATGTGGGCATTTTTTTTTTTTTTTTTTTTTTTATTGKGTAGTTTCACATTAACTGTGGT